GATTTCTGAAGGATCATGTGACACTGAAGACTTAAGTAATGGCTGGTATATTTATATAGTAAACTATATTATCACCCAGCAATATACTGAAAGATGGCTATATAGTACATCCTACTTTACCTGCATATGTGAATCTTTACATCGTTGCAAAATATGAACTGAAATACGCACAGCTCTATAGTACATATTAAAGTTGGATATATATATATATATTATATTATTATATAAAAACTATATATTACATTTTAAAATATATTAAAATAGAAAAAAAGCAGAAATTTGTCACAATAAATGAGACATAAAAAAAACAATAATTCTCATACCTATCAGCAGTAATGGGTCATCTGGTAAAGCTGGTTTCATATATTGATCACTGTCCCATGGCAATGGACCATTTGAAGCAAGCTTCAAACTCTCTGCAGAACATTTCTACAAAACACACACAGCTTATTCAGGCGTCAAGTCATCATATCGCAAATATACACTTGAACTGCATGTTAAAAGGATACTTACTGTAGTTCTAATGTAGTTTATCATCTTTATGTAGCCATAGTCATCAAGCCCTAGTGAGGAATTAAAACAGATTAGAGAGGAATTAAACCAGATCTATATTTAGAGACACTCAGCACACTGAGCAGTCCTTGGTTTGTAAAACTTACTGTGTTTTTGGACAAGATCTGGAATATCCACACCATGTTCTGTCTTACAGTGTTGTACTGTTTCAGACACAGAGGTGAAAGTCCTGTTTAAAGTGAGACATACTTCAGTACAAAATAAACCATAGGCCCATCTTTAGTGGATACGTTTTGAATGTCTTGAATTGTAAAACACACACACATAAAACACAAAAGCCATAATCAGTTATGCTACTTTTAAATAAATAAATATTCAAAGTGTTCAGGCTATTATTGCAAACTAAACATTTACAATAGTTCAAGTTTAAAATTACTAAAACATTTATGTCACTAGAAATAAGACTGAAAAAAAAAACTTAACTAAATACTGAAATAACCAAACTAAAATGAGAAATATTACACTGGCAACTAACAGAAATACATTGAAGCACTGAAATTACTAACTGGATATTAAAACTAAAACTGAAATAAAAATAAATTCAATTTAAAAGAAATATTCAAAAAGGGAAAAAAGCACTAATAGCATAACAAAATTACTAAATATTAAACAAAACTTAAATTGAAAACTAAAAATACAACAACAACAACAACAAAAAAAAAAGCTAATCCAAAACATGAAAGTATATAAACTAAAATAATATTGGTTCGCATGTCCATCCTCCTGACATCCATGAGTTGAAAAAGAGTTTGTATTTGTGTTGCATTTCTTCTTCTGGTTTCTCCTCACTATTGTCACATTTAATCTACCTTGAATTGAAATGTTAAAATGTTTCTCTTTTTTTGTTTATAGGCTACATCTAACATCACACTAATAGTGTGTAAAAAAAAAAAAAGTGAATATTTTAAGACATTTCAATAATTTCTTCTGGCTATATAAAAGCAATTTATTTACATTTGGAAATAACATGCATGCTACATTTCCTCACACAGTATAAATGGCTAACATGCAAATATAGATCTGTCTATAATCATATCTGGCGGTTTCTGACAATAAAACGTTTGAAACAAACATGAGCAGATCACAATCCACAAAACTGTCTCCAGTCTTTCCATTTTCTTTTGGAAGCATCAATATGAATGGTTTGCACTGAATGTTACCTGCTGTCACAGAGTAAACACGGGACTGTTATGCATTCAGATCCCTCCTCCATTGACTGCCATTGTTCTTCATCACTGTCTTCATCACCTGCATCACAAGATACAGTTACAGAAGCCATAACAATTAAACACCTTCTAAACAACCGGTGAGAACTACTGACATAATTAACTGTACAGGAGTTCCCCGTTAATTACACCATTTGAAAATACCAAACTGCAGTACATTTTCCCTAAGATTTAGATGCACTATTCAAACCGTTAAAGTAACGCAGTTTAAATATATGTACATCATATTTCATACATTCACGTGTACCTGTGTACGCTGCCATGTTGTAGTCTCTTGTGTTGTTGGAGTTTTCGCATCCGGGTCATTCTTATTTGGTGCACTTCCCTTCTGTCGCCATGTGAGGCCGCTGTTTCTTTATTAATCGCAGTAACCGTAAGCCTTGAGCTGTCAAATAGCCTACCTCAGTGTATCTGTCTGTATCCTTTGTGTATATTTGTATCGGTGTATCTTTGTTAGTAACAAAGCATCAAAAAGTCATTTATGCAGGTACAACCCTATCTTCTTTATGTTTTGTAGTTTTATAATAACACTACCTACAGTCAAAACTTTGGACTCACTTGACTTCACATTGTATAGTTATTGTAAGGCTTACAATAATACTATATTTATATAGTATGGCTAGTGTGTAAATTAGTATTGTCCGTTTTTGTGTGGAATTTCTCTAATTGAATTTTTAATGGATAAGTTATGCAAGCACACATGTGAACTCTTTCAGTGCTGGCTAAAGAATTACGAAATCACAAAAGTTGGATCATAACATATCAGCTGCCAAGTTCAAAAATTAATATTCTGAATGCAGATGAATGGTATAGGTGCTGGACTGTTCCTGTGTTATGATGTGTCATACTGTTTAATACTGCAAATAACTGCGTTTGTCTTTCAGATGTGACTAAAGAGGTGGCTGTTTGAACCCATTTTCAGATATTATACACAAAATAATATAATTATATACACACAATAGTTGTGTTCAAGTATGGATATAATTTATTTTTTCCTGAGCAATGTAAAATTACATAACAAAAAAGAAAAAGCACCAGAACCCCAAATGAAGCATACAGAAACACAGCACTATCACCCTTAAATTAGTGTAATTTGTTTTTAAAATAATATGTTTTTGTAATATGTTTTTAAAATACATAATATGATAATAATTCAATACAAGTAAACGTAAAAGTAAACTGCAGTAAAACGATATTTTGGCGTATCTTGCTGAAGAATCATGCCAGGATTGCACTTCATTATAAAAATGTGAGAATAAAAGTCTTTTTTATTTTTTGTCTCCAATTTTCCAAAGATTGTATATGGCCTTGTTTTCGAGAATTTCCACTTTCTCCTCTCCATCTTTCAGTGTGTTGACAACCATAGCTCTGGCCACTGCTGTGATGGGAATAGACATTGTAGGGAAAACAGAGGAGAATGCACCAAGAAATTTCTGGGCCACCCACTCAGCCGGCCTGCTCTCCTCTCTGTCCACTAAGAGCACCCTAGAAGAAGAAAAACAATCATATATGAACTACAGAACAGATTATGATTTAAAATAAGGCAGACATGCACAACATACACAAAGATGTATGACCTCAAACTATACTTCAGAGACACTGCAACAGATTTTATTTAAGAAAAATAAAGCAGCGGGACTCACGCTGGTCGATAAATGGAGAAACGCTCAAACCCTAGGTCTTCAATTTCTGCTTCAACCTGTCCCTATAAATACAGCAGTGTTGGAATGGACAAGGATTGGCTTGAATTACATCAAAATACAAGCTTGTCAATCCATGCACTGTTAATCAAATAAGTGATATAATTTTAACAAATCTAGGCACGGGGTTTATAATACCTTTGTTTTCAGATAGAGAAAGCTGCTGGTTTTGTCTGCACCTTTGGAGGATTCGAGATGAAAATGTGAGCAACCTCCTGCTTTGGCAAGTTCTGCAGACTTGAGTACGTAGTCATGA